AATATGATAGGATTGCACAAGACCATCTATTTGAGAGTGCTATCTTTCTTTTTTCTGATTCTTCAACAATTTATATGAAACGATAAAATGTTTTTTTCTTCTTTAGTGCTACAGGTTTGCAAACCTGTCTGTAAATTATTTTTCAATAACTTCATCAAACCTTCTAAGTTCTGAGATTCATTCACACAAAATCATGTCAGGGTCTTTTAAGGGGAAAAGATAGCTTGGCAGGTTAACAGTTTCTACTAATAACATTCATGATGATGACAATAATTTACGGTACATTCTCTGAATGTGGCCAAATTTTATTATACTGTATGAAAAGTTAGACAGACTCTAACTATTCACTGATAATCCACCACTAATCATAATATATTGTTTATCTGTTTTGCATTTTTATTTCTACTGTTATTTTAATGTTTTTATGTGTAATGCTGGTCTATGACCATAATTAAAAATGATTAATTTATATATGACTAGAAAATGAATAATGTACCACCAATTGTGGTGATCAAGCAATTTATTTTATTTGGGGAAGTGTTAATGAATCAGTTTCTAAATTACACATTATAAATAAATAGAACAGGGTTTTATTTATGTTTCTAAAAATACAGAGACCTGAAACTTGACTATAGGATTGGCTGAGTAATGAAAAAAATGAAGGTGGAGGAAGAGTAGAAGTACTGATTCCTTATTATGACAGTTTGCAGAATTTGAGAAATAATTTGTAAATTTCAGTCTGCAAAATTCTTTCTGCAACCACTCATATGTTTTAGCTTCCAATCCCCTAATCGTCTTTGTTGCTTTTCTCTGCATTTTTTCTAGAGTCTCAACATCTTTTTTATATTCTGGTGACCAAAATTGGATGCAATATTGTAAGTGTGGTCTTACCAAGGCATTATAAAGTGGTATCAACACTTCATATGATTGTTTTATTGATAGAATGAAGTAATGGCTTGTAAATTTTTACTAATACTTTTACCAAATTTAAATAACTTTGTAATTCCTTCTCAGGAAAATTATTTAATGGGCCTTCTGAATCCATTACAAAGATATTTTAAAAGTGCTGCTTCTCAAAATTAACTTCAATACTTTATTTATTAAATTCATTGACATTACTAAACAGAAGTATTAGTTACAATGTTTAGAAAGGAAATAGCCTTATTCTCTTTTTATCTGAGAAAATAATCTTTTGAAAAACTTTGAAAGACTTCCAATATTCAGTCAACAGTCCAATGTCCCTGAGCTAAATGGAGACCACAATGATAGTTTTTGTTTTATCAACCAACCAATTAAGAGTCCCATTATTTTCTGTTTTACATGACTTCATATAATGAATTTTTATAATTAAACCAATGACACATTTTTCTTCCTTTTCTGCACTCCCCTTTTACTTTCAGGCATCATTTAGTTCTTAAGTATGTTTTCCCTTTCTTTCCTTTCCTTTCCTTCCCATAGGAAGGACTATGTAGGGCTTTATTATATAAGTTTACAATAATGTATTTAATCTCTATTCCTCAATCTCTCAATAAAGTAGAGAAAAATATAAGCAGTTCTGTTGACATACCTTCACAATGCTTTTTTTTAAATATAAATCTGAGATGAATTGAAAACAATGATTTTACACTAAAATAAATTTAAAAAACAATAAAAGGGTTAGAATCAGTGTTATTCTTTGTATTTTAGCATTACTCAACTGAATAATATAAAAATGAACTAATGCAGTGCTATATATAAGTATTATAGCATGCTAGTAGCTTTACTGCTTTAAATAAAATTCCATAGACATAGCAATTATTAGTATTGACTTTCTTTGGAAGGAGGTTGTTTTTAATAACTGAATTAATTTACAGATATCTAAATTCACTGTTTCACTGCTGCCAAAGACTGCATGCTGGTTGGGGAATTCTGAGAGTTGAAGTCCACAAGTCTTAAAGTTGCCAAGATTGGACACACCTACTCTAGATCATTGGTGTTCTTGTCCTGACTAGATCTGCCAGTTTTGCATTTTCTAGAATTTGGTTTTGCAATATACCCTTGGTTTCATTTTGTTTTGTTATTTTTTACCTAATATTATTGCAAGAATATATGCCTCTTTCCTTTAATAACTTAGCCATCTCACAATGAAATAGTCTATGAATTAGTAAACAACTATAGTTGTTACTTGAATAAACATCCATTTGTTTTGTCCTATTGAAATTAGATTTACAAATGGTTACAAATTAGATATTATGAAGATATATCACAACCTAGTTAAAAATATTTTATTGGAATGCATATATCTGATTTTACTAAGCATTTTACTGAATGTTCTCTGCTTGCCTTTGGTTGTATTTTATGTCTTTTCATTAATAGCCATTGTTGCTTAATCAGAAAATGTACATATACCTTGTAATGCAAACTGAATAAATATTGAATGATAATATAGTACAAAACACATTTTGGGGAAGTATGTTGTCATAGGCAGAGGAAATATGAAGGCAGTTTTGTTTTTAATTTATACTATTCTTATTTTCTGATTTATCACTAGTACCTTGAGCTCAGCATTCTGTTTCTTTAGTCCTTCCACTGTATACGAAATCTCCTTCCATGTTCCAACCTTCGTTTTGGCACATTCTAATATTTGCTCAGCTTCTTGCTTTGCTTCCAACCATTGTCTTGAATCTTTCAACATTTCATGTAACTGTTGTCTTCGGTTCTGAATGTGACCTTGTACTTCATCCCACTGGTTTTGTATTTTTTCAACTGTGGGAAATAAAGGCAAAAATAAAATATGACTCTTTATTGGCAAATTCCTATTTCAGTGAATTAAAACAGAAATTAAAAATCCTGTTCTTGATTATGTTCAAAATTAAATAATTTTAAATTAACAACATCTCAACCTAGAAATTTAAATTGTATTTGTTGAATTAATTTTTCATAATGACATTATGTAATAATGACAAAACATTAAGTAAGAATTAAACAACAGGAGCATGATTTGGATATGCTGTACATTCAATGTAATAATTTGAAATCAGTTTATTATTTAGACATATTTCAATTTAACAAGCTATGATCTTCAATTGGTTCAGAAAAAGGAAGAGTCTGAAAAGAATTCATCTTACTATTCTAACTGTTCCACTAATTAAATATTGTGTTTGATAAATAAAATGCTGACAAAGTTCATTGTAGAAAACTTAAAAGTCTTTATAATACTGGAATTTTTAAATAATTAACCCAGAAGTGTACATAAAACAAGTATTTGTCACTTATTTTATACATATTAATGATTCTATTTTAATAGGGAAACAAACAGTAGTAGCCTTTGAAGTAGAGAAAATAAGTAGAGAAAATAATTCCTTTTGATAAAGCCTGGACATAATTTTATGCTTAATTATGAATTATTTGGCACACTATAAAATATAATTCTTTATGTAAATATAACACAGTTATAGTTGCATTAATTGTTTTCTAAGAAGCAAAGAAAAATGCTTTGCTGTGGTTTTGTAAAATGAGCATAAAATGGTTTGAAAAATGAAAACAGTTTTATGAATTTAATCTAATTTATTTAAAAAAATAAATACATGCATGTAAAGGGAAGAACAGTATGGATATATTTGAGAGGATTAAGAAGAAAAAAATATGTAAGAGTTTTCCATCATTTCTTTGAAATACAATGTCCTTCATAGAAAAGAGGTAAAATTGACCTGGGGAATTGAATAAAACATAAATGCATATTAGAGAGATTGAGCAAATTGATAATATGAGACAGCAATATTACTATCATATGACAACATTTGTGTGGTGAGACATATGTAGCTCAATTCCAATCACTCTCAAATGAAGGTCAAAGAGACATAAAGTGGTTTCATGATACAAAACATAGGTTGTATGCAGAAGCTCTCTGGAGCTCTGACATCTATAAGGTAAGGATGCATGTTAGATCCTACCTAGTGGCGATGAGGGTGGCTAGATCTAATTACTATTCCACACTCATCGCGTCATCAGATAACCGCCCGGCCGCCCTCTTCAGGGTGACCCGCTCTCTCCTCCAACTGAGGGAGGGAGGGGGTCCCCTGGAGGGGAGGGCC